TATCTCGTGGTACGAGATCAAAGAAAATGTTCCGCGCCAAAATTGGATAGCAAGATGAATAAGGCGGGAGAAAGGGTTTTATAAGGTTCTGGAAAAAGGTACTCGTTAAACACGAGGTGTTTGTGCGCACAGATAGAAAGCAGTACTCACTGTGGATTTTTGGCGTTGAGAGTGTGTGTGATTTTTGTGGGGTTTTTTTATCCTTTTTTTATGTTCAGGTTCAAAGTAGGGTCTCAGAGTTTGGTCAGGTCTTGAATTAACTGTTGAAAATTTTAACGGAATGCTGTGGACGTCTAGCCAAAAGGACGAAGAGTTATTTGCAGTTGGTTGCATCGTCTTAGTGAAGTTACTTATGGCGAGTCCAGAGGGGACGAAGAATATCTGTTCGTCAGTAAGATATCCCTGTCTGGATTTAAGATTGACTGACGAGGGATAAATGTAAGCCACTTGTTGAATACGAAGTTTTGCTGACTGTGTCGTGTGTCTCGAACGTTTTCTGGTCGAAAATGGAGAAAGGTCTGACCTGCGGGTAGCAAGTTTGTTCGCCAATAAGATATCCCTGTCTGTATTTAAAGTTTGACTGACGAGGGATAAAAAAAAAGCCACTTGTTGAATACGAAGTTTTGCTCACGACTGTGTCGTGTGACTCGAACGTCTTCTGGTCGAAGACGGAGAAGGTTTGACCTGCGGGCAGCTTCAAGACGAGAAGAAGTCTTGGTACAGTGTGAGGTCGACATTGTTGAGATAAGATATTCCGGCCTGCATATGGGTTAAGGGCACGGAATAAATGAGTTGCCCGTCTAGTTAGGTCGAAAGTCGGGAGGCAACTGGCTTGCAAACGCTGTTCGTTTGAGACGCCGAGAAACGCGCGGGAAAAAATTCAAAATCTGTTAGGCTGACTTCATCAGTAGGAGCCAGAGAGCTTCTCACTAGTTAAGGATGTTTACTGCTACGTCTAACTGTAAAAGAGAGGAAGCGGGGAAACTCGCGCGGGGGTAAAATGTAGATGGAATTAATGTGTTAATTCCATAAACTGGTGGAATATCTGGGCAGGGACTGCCATGTCTTGATACACTGTCTTGTGAGCGATGAATTGTTTACCCATCGTAAGCCCTTTCCCAGAATCGATGCATTGTAAGCCACTCACTACTCTGTCGCTATTTCGATGAAAAATCTTCAGGCCAACTACAATCCTTAGTTACTCCAATTCTAACCCAACACGTTAAAACTCCCCAACGCCACGTACATTGAGGCATAAAACCATAATTCCCTTCGTATTACATTAGTAAGTTAAAATTTCCTTTCGGATAGCTACATTCAAAGAACTTGATTTCTGCAACAGAATTCCAGGCGAGTGATTTAGTATGTATGTATGTATGATGCGGCATTCACCCTGGGCGGATTGAGCCGGCTTCTTCCTGTTGAGAAGAAGATTCTTGGGATAAATTACAGAAGTAGGGTACCCAGGCCTACTCGGATAACGTTCTTGCTTGCCGCGGGGTTCCCACAAACGCAGAGACAAGAACGACCAGAAGCCGCCGGTTGCCGATGCAGACGCTCCTTGGATTTTCACCAGAGCCCTTGTTAGCCGGCGTGTGTGTCAGACCTGTCCGCCTTGGGTGGCCCTACCAGGAACGAAGTTCCGGACGGCATAGCTCTGACACTACCGTTTGCACCCCCCCACCGACTGTGAGGTAAGGGTTGATTTAACCCGCCACTACAATCATAACCACTTCAAAAAGTTTTCAGAATCAATCTTTCATATTTATAAATCTACCATTAGTCAGTGCATTGAATACTGCTGTCATATCTGACCTGGAATCTCGACTTCAGTCTTTTCTACAATTATTGTTCATGCATTGAATACTGTTACCATATCTGGTCTGGTGCACCTGCTGTACACCTCAAGATTCTTGATAAAATTCAAAGAAGGATCTGTAATTTAAACAATCCTGACCTGGCATCTCGTCTTCAGTCACTTTCTCACCAAAATGACTTCATGCTGTCTTTTCTACAATTATTTTCCATGCATTGAATACTGTTACCATATCTGGTCTGGTGATCCTGCTGTATATCTCAAGATTATTGACAAAATTAAAGGAAGGATCTGTATTGTAATCGATCCTAATCAGGCATCTCGACTTTAGTCACTTTCTCATGGCTTCCGTCTGTCCTTTCTACAAATATTTTCATGGTAACTGCTCTGACAATTTTGAAAAAGATAAAGGCAAACGCCACTTCTAACTCAACAGTTTATTTTCTTGCATTCCCACTTGGGGAACTCCTTTCCGATTTCTTGCCTCCCTGAAAACTACAATCTTCAAACATTTAAATGCAACGTCAGCCGTCTTCTTCTGCATTCCTCATTTCATCTGTTGTCTTTCCTTCCTATCTTTTGTTTCAGTTTCACTCCCTGTAACATGTTGCGCACTAGTGGCATTCTCGCCTTGCTTGGGGTGAAATAATAGTCTAGAGCTACCTTTCATACATATCTTCATAACTACACACCCTTACTCATACCGCTGACACAACAATCACATGCCGTAACGCTCTAACTTGAGCGTCTCTTAAGTTGTAATCGTTTTCCTTTCATTCCAATTGTACCCAAATTTCTTTATAATAAAGTCATACACAGAAATAGACCAAATGTTCTCAATTTGAAAGGTTATGGTATATTTGGAATAATTTTTAAACTGTTTCAGTTTTTCTTATCTCTTGTGGTGTCCTTCCTGTAAAGAGCCTATGTTGGACTCTTCCGCCTACTATAAGATTAGTAGGAGAGAAGGCCTTGGGGGAACAGTCGAATAGATTGAACGCTAAGTCAACCGACACACACTCACTAGTCGTGTAATACTCTTCTGTTGTACTTACTGTTTAATATATAATATATCTGTAACACTTGTTCTGTTATTTCTTTAACCATTTAGTTGGTCACAACATTGTCAAATCGCGAAATTAAAGTCATCTTTAATGGCAACTATTCTTAATCTTTTTACGTTGATGCCTTTTATTCCCTAGGGCTCTATATTTGGACCTACATTGTTCCTAATTTTCATCAACAATCTTCCTGATATCATCAGTTCTCAGCTCCATATCTATGCTGATGACAAAGATTTACTCCCGAGTAAATCTGATTAGTTGAGGGGGGAAAATGTGATACTAAAATTCAAACGCACAAGTGATTGTTGAAAGATGTTCTAAACGCTAAACATACTTCTAAGAAACATGATAATTTCGTTAGAAACAAACAAAATTATTTACTTTAATAGCAACACTTTTGTATGGCAATGATATGATGGACAATCTTCCCATATAGACAGCAGGGGTGTGGTTCTACACAAGGTTAATGAGAATCCCATGGTTTGAGCTAGTAAGCAACAAGAAAATCTTAATGAAAATGGCGACCAAAAAAGAAGAGTTCTAGAAACTCCCATTTCTCGTAGCCCTTAACAACTTTTCTTCCTTTGTCAAGCTTTCTTTTCCTGATCCGCAATCCATTCACCCAAGCACGTCAGGAAGGTGGCAAGCCGCCCGCCTCTATTTCTTTTGGTCTCAATATATCCGATCAATATATTTACCCGTCATCTCTGGCGAGATTGTTCAGCATTCAATGCCAAGAGAATTTATATCACATAGCAATTGGAACAATGATCAATGACGGCATCCAGTTACATCACGTTGACTCAATAGATAGATAGATAGATAGATAGATAGATAGATAGATAGATAGATAGATAGATAGATGAGAAGAAATTGAGATAGATAGATAGATAGATAGATAGATACATAGATACATAGATAGATAGGAAAAGAACAAGATAGATAGATAGATAGATAGATAGATAGATAGATAGATAGATAGATAAGGGAGGGACGGAGATAGATAGATAGATAGATAGATAGATAGATAGATAGATAGATAGATGAGATGAGGAAAGATAGATAGATAGATAGATAGATGAGAAGAAATTGAGATAGATAGATAGATACATAGATAGATCCAGAGATAGATAGGAACAGAACAGTATAGATAGATAGATAAATAGATAGATAGATAGATAGATAGATAGATAGATAAGGGAGGGTCGGAGATATATATATATATATATATATATATATATATATATATATATATATATAGATAGATAGATAGATAGATAGATAAGAAGAGATTGAGATAAATAGATAGATAGATAGATAGATAGGAACAGAACAAGATAGATAGATAGAAGTTTTACCGATGATCAAATTTCATGACAAAATTCATTTTTTTTTCTTTTTTTTTCTTCTATATGCCGTGCCAATTTAGGACGTAGGCAATAATTGCTCTCCACAACGTCCTATTCCTCGTGACCCTTAGCGGCGTTTCTTCCTCTGCCAAACTTTCTTTTACCAATCCGCCATCCATTCACCCAAGCACGTCAGGAAGGTGGCAAACAGGCCTCTCCTATTTCTTTTGGCCTCAATATACCCTGTGAGGATTACGTTTACCAAGCCCTCCATCCTCATGTATCCGAGATATATTCTTCTCCAGAACCTGTTTTCAGATGGCTCGATTTTACCCTTCATCTCTGGCGAGATTGTTCAGCATCCAATGCAAAGGGGATTGACATCTCACAGCAATTGAAACATTCCTTCGTTTTTTTTTAAGAGTTTACCTCTATCGTTAAAACGCTAAAACATTTCGATGTCGTTTTTTACATCCTCATTTAAAACACTTCGCAGGTAATTTAACCTTCTGCACTTCGATGATGTCGACATCTCCAAATTGGTTCTAGGAAAATTGCGTACAAGAAATTTGCGTCCCGGACAATCGCGTAGCAGACATTTGCGTCCCGGACAATTGCGTACCAGACATTTGCCTCCCGGACAATTGCGTACGAGACATTTGCGTCACGCATAATTGCGAACCAGAAATTTGCATCCCGGACAATTGCGTACCAGATATTTGCGTCCCGGAAAATTACGTACTAGACATCTGCCTCCCAGGCAATTGCGTATTAAACATTTGCATCCCGGACAATTGCGTAACAGACATTTGCATCCCGGACAATTGCGTTCCAGACATTTTCGTCCCGGACAATTGCGTACCAGACATTTGCATCCCGGACAATTGCGTACCAGATATTTGCGTCCTGGACAATTGCGTACCAGACATTTGCATCCCGGACAATTGTGTACCAGACATTTGCATTCCGGATAATTGCGTACCAGACATTTGCATCCCGGACAATTGCGTACCAGATATTTGCGTCCCGGACTATCGCGTAGCAGACATTTGCGTCCCGGACAATTGCGTACGAGACATTTGCATCCAGAACAATTACGTCGCAGACATTTGCATCCCAGACCATTGCGTACCAGATATTTGCGTTCTGAAAAATTGCGTACCAGACATTTGCGTCCCGGACAATTGCGTACGAGACATTTGCATCCCGGACAATTGCGTACCAGATATTTGTGTTCCGGAGAATTGCGTAACAGACATATGCATCCCGGACAATTGCGTACCAGATATTTGCTTCCCGGCCAATCGCGTAGCAGACATCTGAGTCCCGGATAATTGCGTACTAGACATTTGCATCCCGGTCAATTGTGAACCAGATATTTGCGTCCCGGACAATTGCGTACTAGACATTTGCATCCCGGACCAGAAATTTGCATCCCGGATAATTGTGTACCAGATATTTGAGTCCTGGACAATTGCGTACCAGACATTTGCATCCCGGACAATTGCGTAACAGACATTTTTGTCTAGAACAAATGCGTACCAGACATTTGCGTCCCGGACAATTGCGTAGCAGACATTTGCATCCCGGACAATTGCGTAACAGACATTTGCGTCCCAGACAAATGCGTACCAGATATTTGTAACCGGACAATTGCGTACCAGACATTTGCATCCCGGTAAATTGCGTGCCAGACATTTGAATCCCGGACAATTGCGGACCAGAAATTTGCCACACGGACAATTGCGTACCAGATATTTGCGTCCCGGACAATTGCGTACAAGACATTTGCATCCCGGACAATTGCTTAACAGACATTTGCGTCTCGGACAATTTAGTACCAGACATTTGCATCCCGGACAATTGCGTACCAGACATTTGCATCCCGGACAATTGCGTACCAGATATTTGCGTCCCGGAAAATTGCGTACCAGGCATTTGCGTCCCGGACAATTGCGTACAAGACATTTGCATCCCAGAAAATTGAGTACCAGATATTTGCACTCGGACAATTACATAACAGAAATTTGTGTCCCGGACGATTGCGTACGAGAAATTTGCCTCCCGGACAATTGCTTACTAAACCTTTGCGTCCTGGACAATTGAGTACCAAACATTCGCGTCCCGGACAATTGCGTACCAAAAATTTGCGTCCCGTACAATTGCGTACCAAACATTTGCGTCCTGGACAATTGCGTACCAGATATTTGCGTCCTGGACAATTGCGTACCAGACATTTGCATCCCGGACAATTGTGTACCAGACATTTGCATCCCGGATAATTGCGTACCAGACATTTGTGTTCCGGAGAATTGCGTAACAGACATTTGCATCCCGGACAATTGCGTACCACATATTTGCGTCCCGGACAATTGCGTACCAATCATTTGAAACCCGGAAACTTGCGTGACAGATATTTGCGTCCCGGACAATTGTGTACCAGACATTTGCATCCCGGAAAATTGCGTACCAGATATTTGCGTCCCGGACAATTGCTTACCAGATATTTGCATCCCGGACAATTGTGAACCAGATATTTGCGTCCTGGACAATTACGTACCAGACACTTGCATCCCGGACAATTGCGTACCAGACATTTGCGTCCTGAACAATACGTCCCAGACATTTGCATCCCAGACAATTTCGTACCGGACATTTGCCACTCAGACAATTGCGTACAAGAAATTTGCTTCCCGGACAATTGGGTACGAGATATTTGTGTCCCGAACAATTGCGTACCAGACAGTTGCGTTCCGGACAATTACGTACCAGACATTTGCATCCCGGACAATTTCGTACCAGATATATGCACTAGGACAATAACATAACAGAAATTTGTGTCCCGGACGATTGCGGACCAGAAATTTGCCTCCCGGACAATTGATTACCAAACATTTGCGACCTGGACAATTGCGTACCAAACATTAGCGTCCAGGACAATTGCGTACCAAACATTTGCGTCACGGACAATTGCGTACCACACATTTGCGTCCCGGATAATTGCGTACCAGATATTTGCGTCCAGGATAATTGCGTAGTAGACATTTGCATCCCGGACAATTGCGGACCAGAAATTTGCAACACGGACAATTGCGTCCCAGACATTTGCATCCCGGAATATTGCGTGTCAGATATTTGCGTCCCGGACAATTGTGTACCAAACATTTGCATCCCGGACAATTGCGTACCATATATTTGCGTCCCGGACAATTACATACTAGACATTTGCCTCTCAGGCAATTGCGTATTAAACATTTGCGTCCCGGACAATTGCCTAACAGACATTTGCATCCCGGACAATTGCGTTCCTGACATTTTCGTCCCGGACAATTGCGTACCAGACATTTGCATCCCGGACAATTGCGCACCAGATATTTGCGTCCTGGACAATTGCGTATCAGACATTTGCATCCCGGACAATTGTGTACAAGACATTTGCATCCCGGATAATTGCGTACCAGTCATTTGCATCCCGGACAATTGCGTACCAGACATTTGTGTCCCGGAGAATTGCGTACCAGACATTTGCATCCCGGACAATTGCGTACCAGATATTTGCGTCCCGGACAATCGCGTAGCAGACATTTGCGTCCGGGACAATTGCGTACCAGACATTTTCGTCTGGGACAATTGCGTACCAGACATTTGGGACAATTGCGTACCAGATATTTGCGTCCTGGACAATTTTTGCATCCCGGACAATTGTGTACCAGATATTTGCATCACGGATAATTGCGTACCAGATATTTGCGTTCTGGACAATTGAGTAACAGACATTTGCGTCCCGGACAATTGCGTACCAGTCATTTGCATCCCGGACAATTGCGTACCAGACAGTTGCGTTCCGGACAATTGCGTACCAGATATTTGCATCTCAGAAAATTGCGTACCAGATATTTGCGTCCTCGACAATTACGTACCAGACATTTGCATCCACAATTGCGTACCAGATTTTGCATCATAACAGAAATTTGTGTCCCGGACGATTGCGGACCAGAAATTTGCCTCCCGGACAATTGATTACAAACATTTGCGATTTGCGTACCAAACATTAGCGTCAAGGACAATTGCGTACCAAACATTTGCGTCACGGACAATTGACCATATTTTGCGTCCCGGACAATTACATACTAGATATTTGCCTCTCAGGCAATTGATTAAACATTTGCGTCCCGGACAATTGCGTAACAGAAATTTGCATCCCGGAATATTGCGTTCCAGACATTTTCGTCCCGGACAATTGCGTTTGCATCCCGGACAATTGACCAGATATTTGCGTCCCGGACAATTGTGTACCAGACATTTGCATCCCGGATAATTGCGTCCAGTCATTTGCATCCCGGACAATTTCGATATTTGCGTCCCGGACCATCGCGTAGCAGACATTTGCGTCCGGGACAATTGCGTACAATTTTCGTACGGGACAATTGCGTACCAGACATTTGCATCCCGGACAATTGCGTACCAGATATTTGCGTCCTGGACAATTGCGTATTTTGCATCCCGGACAATTGTGTACCAGATATTTGCATCACGGATGATTGCACCAGTCATTTGCATCCCGGACAATTGCGTACCAGACATTTGCATCCCGGACAATTGCGTACCAGATATTTGCGTCCCGGACAATCGCGTAGCCATTTGTCCCGGACAATTGCGTACCAGACATTTGCATCCAGGACAATTACGTAGCAGACGTTTGCATCCCAGACCATTGCGTACCAGATATTTGCGTTCTGAACAATTGAGTACCAGACATTTGCGTCCCGGACAATTGCGTACCAGACATTTGCATCCCGGACAATTGCGTACCAGACATTTGTGTTCCGAGAATTGCGTACCAAACATTTGCATCCCGGACAATTGCGTACCAGGTATTTGCTTCCTTACAATTGCGTACCAGACGTTAGCATCCCGGACAATTGTGTACCAGTCATTTCCCCGGACAATTGTGTACCAGATATTTGCGCGTCCAGACATTTGAGGACAATTGCATACTGACATTTGCTTCCCGGACAATTGCGTCCCCGGACAATTGCGTACCAGACAATTGCGTACCAGACATTTGCATTTGCGTCCAGATATTTGCGTCCTGGACAATTACGTACCAGACATTTGCATCCCGGACAATTGAGTACCAGCATTTGCGTCCCGGACAATTGACATTTGCGTCCAGGACAATTATGTACCAGACATTCGCATCCCCTGACAATTGCATACCAGACATTTGCGTCCCGGATAATTACGTACCAGATATTTGCGTCCCGGATAATTGCGTACCAGACATTTGCATCCCGGACAATTGCGGACCAGAAATTTGCAACACGGACAATTGCGTAATAGACATTTACCAGACAATTGCATCCCCGGACAATTGCGTACCAGATATTTGCGTCCCGGACAATTGCGTCCCAAACATTTGCGTCCCGGAAACTTGCGTACCAGAAATTTGCCACCCGACAATTTACCAGACAATTGCGTCCCGGATAATTGCGTAACAGATATTTGCGTCCCGGACAATTGCGTACCAGACATTGGCATCCATTTGATATTTGCGTCCCGGACAATCGCGTAGCAGACATTTGCGTCCGGGACAATTGCGTACCAGACATTTTCGTCCGGGACAATTGCGTACCAGACATTTGCATCCCGGAAAATTGCGTACCAGATATTTGCGTCCCGGACAATTGCTTACCAAACATTTGCATGCCGGACAATTGTGTACCAGATATTTGCGTCCTGGACAATTACGTACAAGAGATTTGCATCCCGGACAATTGCGTACCAGATATTTGCTGCGTACCAGATATTTGCATCCCGGAAAATTGCGTACCAGATATTTTCGTCCCGGACAATTGTGTACCAGACATTTGCATCCAGGAAAATTGCGTACCAGATATTTGCGTCCCGGACAATTGCTTACCATCATGGACAATTGTGTACCAGATATTTGCGTCCTTGACCATTACGTACCAGACACTTGCATCCCGGACAATTGCGTGCCAGATATTTGCATCCCAGACAATTTTGTACCGGACATTTGCCACCCGGACAATCGCTTATCAGACATTTGCGTCCCGGACAATTGCGTCCCAGACATTTGCGTCCCGGAAACTTGCGTACCAGAAATTTGCCACCCGTACAATTCCGTACCAGACAATTGCGTTCCGAACAATTGCGTAACAGACATTTGCATCCCGGACAATTGCGTACCAGATATTTGCGTCCCGGACAATCGCGTAGCAGACATTTGCGTCCGGGACAATTGCGTACCAGACATTTTCGTCCGGGACAATTGCGTACCAGACATTTGCATCCCGGAAAATTGCGTACCAGATATTTGCGTCCCGGAAAATTGCTTACCAGACATTTGCATGCCGGACAATTGCGTACCAGATATTTGCTTCAACAATAGACCAGATTTTGCATACCGGAAAATTGCCCAGATATTTGACAATTGTGTACCAGACATTTGAATCCCGGAAAATTGCGTACCAGATATTTGCGTCCCGGATAATTGCGTACCAGACATTTGTGTTCCGGAGAATTGCGTAACAGACATTTGCATCCCGGACAATTGGACAATTTGCGTCCCACAATTGGTACCAATTTTGAAACCCGGAAACTTCCCTGACAGATATTTGCGTCCCGGACAATTGTGTACCAGACATTTGCATCCCGGAAAATTGCGTACCAGATATTTGCGTCCCGGACAATTGCTTACCAGATATTTGCATCCCGGACAATTGTGAACCAGATATTTGCGTCCTGGACAATTACGTACCAGACACTTGCATCCCGGACAATTGCGTACCAGACATTTGCGTCCTGCAATACGTCCCAGACATTTGCATCCCAGACAATTTCTGTACCGGACATTTGCCACTCAGACAATTGCGTACAAGAAATTTGCTTCCCGGACAATTGGGTACGAGATATTTGTGTCCCGAACAATTGCGTACCAGACAGTTGTTCCGTTACGTACCAGACATTTGCATCCCGGACAATTTCGTACCAGATATATGCACAGGACAATAACATAACAGAAATTTGTGTCCCGGACGATTGTTCCCGGACAATTGATTACCAAACATTTGCGACCTGGACAATTGCGTACCAAACATTTCCAGGACAATTGCGTCCAAACATTTGCGTCACGGACAATTGCGTACCACATTTGCGTCCCGGATAATTGACCAGATATTTGCGTCCAGGATAATTGCGTAGTAGACATTTGCATCCCGGACAATTGCGGACCAGAAATTTGCAACACGGACAATTGCGTCCCAGACATTTGCATCCCGGAATACAGATATTTGCGTCCCGGACAATTGTGTACCAAACATTTGCATCCCGGACAATTGCCATATATTTGCGTCCCGGACAATTACATACTAGACATTTGCCTCCAGGCAATTGCGTATTAAACATTTGCGTCCCGACAATTGCCTAACAGACATTTGCATCCCGGACAATTGCGTTCCTGACATTTTCGTCCCGGACAATTGCCCAGACATTTGCATCCCGGACAATTGCGCACCAGATATTTGCGTCCTGGACAATTGCGTATCAGACATTTGCATCCCGGACAATTGTGTACCATTTGCATCCCGGATAATTGCGTACCAGTCATTTGCCCCGGACAATTGACCAACATTTGTGTCCCGGAGAATTGCGTACCAGACATTTGCATCCCGGACAATTGCGTACCAGATATTTGCGTCCCGGACAATCGCGTAGCAGACATTTGCGTCCGGGACAATTGCGTACCAGACATTTTCGTCTGGGACAATTGCGTACCAGACATTTGCATTCCGGACAATTGCGTACCAGATATTTGCGTCCTGGACAATTGCGTACCAGACATTTGCATCCCGGACAATTGTGTACCAGATATTTGCATCACGGATAATTGCGTACCAGATATTTGCGTTCTGGACAATTGAGTAACAGACATTTGCGTCCCGGACAATTGACAGTCATTTGCATCCCGGACAATTGCGTACCAGACAGTTGCGTTCCCAATTGGTACCAGATATTTGCGAAAATTGCGTACCAGATATTTGCGTCCTCGACAATTACGTACCAGACATTTGCATCCCGGACAATTGCGTACCAGATATTTGCACTCGGACAATAACATAACAGAAATTTGTGTCCCGGACGATTGCGGACCAGAAATTTGCCTCCCGGACAATTGATTACCAAACATTTGCGACCTGGACAATTGCGTACCAAACATTAGCGTCAAGGACAATTGCGTACCAAACATTTGCGTCACGGACAATTGCGTACCATATATTTGCGTCCCGGACAATTACATACTAGATATTTGCCTCTCAGGCAATTGCGTATTAAACATTTGCGTCCCGGACAATTGCGTAACAGAAATTTGCATCCCGGAATATTGCGTTCCAGACATTTTCGTCCCGGACAATTGCCTACCAGACATTTGCATCCCGGACAATTGCGTACCAGATATTTGCGTCCCGGACAATTGTGTACCAGACATTTGCATCCCGGATAATTGCGTACCAGTCATTTGCATCCCGGACAATTTCGTACCAGATATTTGCGTCCCGGACCATCGCGTAGCAGACATTTGCGTCCGGGACAATTGCGTAACAGACATTTTCGTACGGGACAATTGCGTACCAGACATTTGCATCCCGGACAATTGCGTACCAGATATTTGCGTCCTGGACAATTGCGTACCAGACATTTGCATCCCGGACAATTGTGTACCAGATATTTGCATCACGGATGATTGCGTACCAGTCATTTGCATCCCGGACAATTGCGTACCAGACATTTGCATCCCGGACAATTGCGTACCAGATATTTGCGTCCCGGACAATCGCGTAGCAGACATTTGCGTCCCGGACAATTGCGTACCAGACATTTGCATCCAGGACAATTACGTAGCAGACGTTTGCATCCCAGACCATTGCGTACCAGATATTTGCGTTCTGAACAATTGAGTACCAGACATTTGCGTCCCGGACAATTGCGTACCAGACATTTGCATCCCGGACAATTGCGTACCAGACATTTGTGTTCCGGAGAATTGCGTACCAGACATTTGCATCCCGGACAATTGCGTACCAGGTATTTGCTTCCTGTACAATTGCGTACCAGACGTTAGCATCCCGGACAATTGTGTACCAGTCATTTCCATCCCGGACAATTGTGTACCAGATATTTGAGTCCTGGACAATTGCGTACCAGACATTTGCGTCCAGGACAATTGCATACTCGACATTTGCTTCCCGGACAATTGCGTACGAGATATTTGTGTCCCGGACAATTGCTTACCACACAGTTGCGTTCCGGACAATTGCGTACCAGACATTTGCATCCCAGAAAATTGCGTACCAGATATTTGCGTCCTGGACAATTACGTACCAGACATTTGCATCCCGGACAATTGAGTACCAGACATTTGCGTCCCGGACACTTGCTTAACAGACATTTGCATCCAGGACAATTGCGTACCAGACATTTGCGTCCAGGACAATTATGTACCAGACATTCGCATCCCTGACAATTGCATACCAGACATTTGCGTCCCGGATAATTACGTACCAGATATTTGCGTCCCGGATAATTGCGTACCAGACATTTGCATCCCGGACAATTGCGGACCAGAAATTTGCAACACGGACAATTGCGTAATAGACATTTACATCCCAGACAATTGCGTACCAGACATTTGCGTCCCGGACAATTGCGTACCAGATATTTGCGTCCCGGACAATTGCGTCCCAAACATTTGCGTCCCGGAAACTTGCGTACCAGAAATTTGCCACCCGTACAATTCCGTACCAGACAATTGCGTCCCGGATAATTGCGTAACAGATATTTGCGTCCCGGACAATTGCGTACCAGACATTGGCATCCAGCACAATTTCGCGATCCCGACAATCGCGTAATTTGCGTCCGGGACAATTGACAGACATTTTCGTCCGGGACAATCCCAGACATTTGCATCCCGGAAAATTGTACCAGATTTTTGCGTTGGACAATTGTTACCAAACATTTGCATGCCGGACAATTGACAATATTTGCGTCCTGGACAATTACGTACAAGAGATTTGCATCCCGGACAATTGCGTACCAGATATTTGCTTCCTGAACAATATCGTACCAGATATTTGCATCCCGGAAAATTGCGTACCAGATATTTTCGTCCCGGACAATTGTGTACCAGACATTTGCATCCAGGAAAATTGCGTACCAGATATTTGCGTCCCGGACAATTGCTTACCAGACATTTGCATCATGGACAATTGTGAACCAGATATTTGCGTCCTTGACCATTACGTACCAGACACTTGCATCCCGGACAATTGCGTGCCAGATATTTGCATCCCAGACAATTTTGTACCGTTTGCCACCCGGACAATCCGTCCCGGACAATTGAGACATTTGCGTCCCGGAAACCCAGAAATTTGCCACCCGTAATTTGCGTCCCGGAACAATTGCGTAACAGACATTTGCATCCCGGACAATTGCGTACACAATCGCGTAGCAGACATTTGCGTCCTGGACAATTGCGTACCAGACATTTTCGTCCGGGACAATTGCGTACCAGACATTTGCATCCCGGAAAATTGCGTACCAGATATTTGCGTCCCGGAAAATTGCTTACCAGACATTTGCATGCCGGACAATTGCGTACCAGATATTTGCTTCCTGAACAATAGCGTACCAGATATTTGCATACCGGAAAATTGCGTACCAGATATTTGCGTCCCGGACAATTGTGTACCAGACATTTGAATCCCGGAAAATTGCGTACCAGATATTTGCGTCCCGGACAATTGTGAACCAGATATTTGCGTCCTGGGCAATTACGTTCCAGACACTTGCATCTCGGACAATTGCGTACCAGATATTTGCTTCCTGAACAAAAGCGTGCCAGATATTTGCATCCCAGACAATTTCGTACCGGACATTTGCCACCCGGACAATTGCGTACCAGACATTTGCGTCACGGACAATTGCGTACGAGATATTTGTGTCCCGTACAATTGCGAACCAGAGAGTTGCGTTCCGGACAATTGCGTACCAGACATTTGCATCCTGAACAATACGTCCCAGACATTTGCATCCCAGACAATTTCGTACCGGACATTTGCCACTCGGACAATTGCGTAGAAGAAATTTGCTTCCCGGACAATTGCGTACGAGATATTTGTGTCCCGGACAATTGCGTACCACACAGTTGCGTTCCGGACAATTGCGTACCAGATATTTGCATCCCAGAAAATTGCGTACCAGATATTTGCGTCCGGGACAATTACGTACCAGACATTTGCATCCCGGACAATTGCGTACCAGATATTTGCACTCGGACAATAACATAACAGAAATTTGTGTCCTGGACGATTGCGGACCAGAAATTTGCCTCCCGGTCAATTGCTTACCAAACATTTGCGACCTGGACAATTGCCTACCAAACATTAGCGTCCAGGACAATTGCGTACCAAACATTTGCGTCACGGACAATTGAGTACCAGACATTTGCGTCCCGGACACTTGCTTAACAGACTTTTGCATCCAGGACAATTGCGTATCAGACAGTTGCGTCCAGGACAATTATGTACCAGACATTCGCATCACTGACAATTGCGTACCAGACATTTGCGTCCCGGATAATTGCGTACCAGATATTTGCGTCCCGGATAATTGCGTACCAGACATTTGCATCCCGGACAATTGCGGACCAGAAATTTGCAACACGTACAATTGCGTAATAGACATTTACATCCCAGACAATTGCGTACCAGATATTTGCGTCCCGGACAATTGCGTCCCAGACATTTGCGTCCCGGAAACTTGCGTACCAGAAATTTGCCACCCGGACAATTGCGTACGAGATATTTGTGTCCCGGACAATTGCGTACCAGATATTTGCGTCCTGAACAATTGCTTTCCAGACATTTGCATCCGGGACAATTTCCTACCAGACATTTGCCACCCGGACGATAGCTGACCAGAAATTTGCTTCCCGGACAATTGCTTACGAAACAATTGAG